AACCCTCCAGGAGGGGCAGGAGACTCGTGCCCAGGGGGCAGCTGCCCCGGTAACCCCCCCCCCGCCCCCCAGCAGGGGAAGGACCAGCAGGTACTCTCAGGATGGTGCCCGGGTCTCCACACCTGCTTCCCATCTCTCCCAAGTGCACTTTAAGGGGTGAGAGCCGGGTCGGCTCCTCTACCTCCTCCCGGACTGGGGGACCGGACCCCACCATTGTGCCCCCCCAGCCCCGACTTCCCCAGTCCCCGTGGGGTGGCTGGGTCAGGCCACGCGGGGCCAACTTTCCATTGATTCAGGGGTCTGATGACACAGGCTGACTCATGGCCAGACGGACCGCCACCCCCCACTCCGCGGCCCGGAGGTCCGCCGGCCCTTCCCTCTCATGACTTGCAGAGCCGTGGCCCCCAGACTTCCTCCTTTTAGCGGCGGCTGGTTCCAAGGGGGAGGGGGCGGTGGTCAGGGCCTGAGCTGGCCTCGGATGCCTCATTGCCAGACACCTGGACGTCTGGTGACCTCACTGCAGGCAGCTGTGACCGGGGCGAGTGTCCTGCAGGAAGTCCCGATGGGACGGTCCCAGGAAAGGGGCTTAGGGCCCAGCCTGGCCCCTCGCTCACTGTGTGGCCTCAGGCCGGCCACGTGACCTCCCCGGCCCTCGGTTTTGTCTTTGTGAATGGAAGGGGGTGGGGCCGGGGAAAGCCGTGCCTGTCAGCTGCTGGGACTCACTGACACAGGATGGGTTTCAAGTTCTTTCCATAAACTGGGGTCCGGGTGCAGACGGACAGGGGTGCAGACTGAGTTCTGTGCAGGGAACCTCCCACCAGCGCCCGGCAGCGCCTGGCCTCGGGTTCTGGCTGCCGGCTGCTCCCCCTGGTGGTGTGTCGTGGAATTTCTCTCAGGCCGTGTCCTTCTGCGGGTTCTGGGCCAGTCCCATGGAGGAATGTGATTAATTTATCGGTATTTTTTTTTATCAGTTTGTATCTGTTTTTTTTTTAAACATTTTTATTTATGAGGCTTATTTATGATGTGTATTTAATGTTAATATTGTGCCAACGTATATTTAAAACATGTCTGGTTTCTAAGCCCCTGAGTCTCTGTGTGTTGCCTTGGGGGAGGGGTGTGGGGGAGGCTGGCCCCTTGGGGAGGGGGTGCCCCTAGCTGGCACGGTCACCAGCGGCCACCACGGAGGACCGGACCGGGCGCCCTGCCTGTCCAGGAAGGGAAGTCTCCCGCGCCAGTCCGACTGTGGGGGCGTCTCCCACGCCGACGGAGCGTTTGTTGTGTCTGACGGGCCTCCCTTGAGACAATGGGGCCCGGGGCTGTCGGGGTTTGGGGGCACGTGGGCAGGGATGCAGGCTGCATGGGGTGTCTGGCTCGCTCTGGCCCATGTGGGCGTGTGGCTGGGGTCTGGGTGCCGATGAAATGAACGAGATAATGACGGATCCTGCCTCAGACGCGGCCGTGGCCTGGTGTGTGCTTGGAACTGCTCCCTGAAGGGCCCTGTGTGTGGGGGGGATACCTTCTGTCCCCCAGAAAGCGGGGCTGCCTCTCGGTGCTCACGGCCCCCCCTCAGAAGAGGCACCTGCAGGCGGATGGATGATGTGCTAAGGCAGAAGCTACCAAGGGAAGGCTAGTGGAAGCCGGAGAACTTGACCTGGATCCGGCCCTGGCGACTCCCACTTCCTGGGGTTGGGGCTGGAGGTGGGAACAGTCCCACGCAGGACTCTCTCCAGTAGACAGGACCCACCTGGCAGATGAGAAGACTGAGGCTCAGAGAGTTCGAGTCACCTGGCCACGTCCTCAGAGCACATTCCGAATTCGGGTCCCTTTGATGCCAGGGCGGGAGCATCTTCCTGTTACCCTCCAGCCTCTGTCACTCTGCTGACAGCTCCCTGAGCCCCTGAGGGCACGGAACTCCCAGGTGAGGGGCAGACAGGCGACAGACAGGTGACAGTGCTCCCAGGAGCGTCTGAGATCGTAGTGTCAGCTCGGGAGCCAGAAGCAGGTGCGGTAGCAGAGAGGGAGAGGGTCAGGTGGTGTGGGCGGCCGGGGTGGCACCTGGAAGAGGTGCCATCTGCTCCTCAGCCTGAAGGACACAGGTGCCTCCGAGCGGCATCGTGAGGGCAGAGGCCCTGAGGACTCAAGGGTCAGGGTTACCCAAACGGCCTGGGGAGCAGAAGCGTCTTGTTCCAGGTCACAGCGCAGGGCTCAGGCGAGGCCCCTCAGCCCCTGGCTCCGACCAGCCGTCTTCCTGAGCCGCGACCCGAAGTATTCCGGGCTCTTTACCAAGCAGCTAGTCCGGGCCCCCCGCTGCCCGCCACTGGGCTCCCCTCCCTTCACTCGGGTTCCTGCCACACTGGGCGCCTCAGGGCTGCCGAAACACCCAGGCTCTCTCCTCCTACAACGCCTTCGCCTATGCTGTTCCCTCTGCCTGCCATGCTGTTCCCTGTTCTATTTGGGAGTGTGCCGTTAACAAGTCTTCCCCAGCACCCATGGGCTGGGTTCAGCAAGTTGGTGATTTGTTCTCTCAAAACTGCCCCATCAGACGAGAAGAGACAAATCAAAGACTTGCATATGCTTACACGCATAGCTCACGGATACGGGCGATAGGTAGGAAGACCTGGGGGGTGGGTAGGGGCTGGGAGGAGGGGGGCAAGGGGGGAAAACGGGAGGTATCTGTAATACTGTCGACAATAAAGAATGCCTTAAAAACCTGCCCCATCAGGGTCTGCACCATCCACTTCCCTCACTACCTGGAGCTGCCAAGGATGGAGGTCACCTCCGCCTCCCTGCTCTGTCCCAGCATCCAGCCCCGTGCCTGCGCGCAGTGGGCGCTCAGCGAGGTGCAGGGCAGAGGAGGCCTGGAGGGAGTCATGGCCCTGAGGAGTGTGCCAGACAGGCAGCGGGGCCGGACAGGTGCCCAGGCGCTGGCAGCGGCAGCAGGCCTCCTTTCTGCCCGCCCCGGCGTGGGGTGGGGGTGGGGGTGCCTCAGCTGGCTCCTGGGAAGCTGTGGGTGGCGGGTGGCAGACATCAAACACCAGGCTCGCTCAGGTGCTCGGACCGGAAGGGGACTGGCGCTGCCGTGGCCGTGCGGTTGCCCACGGAGAGGGCAGAGGTTGGTCTGCGGAGGAAGAGCTGGGGAGCCCAGGGTGCTGCACCTGCCCTCTGCCTGGGCCCCTGGCCAGCCCCCCTCTCTGTGGATCAGCCCCAGGAGCAGGACCTGAGCTGGCACCCACTCCCCAGGACGCAGATCCAGGGTCTCCAGGCTCAGGGGGCAGGGGTCCCAGGCCCCCCCACCCCCCGTGAGGATTTGTCACCTCCCCACTGTCTCCTGAGGAGACCACAGCCTCAAGCGCCCAAGCCGTCATCCCCATCTCATTCTTTCCAAGCCCACAGCCTGCGGCCAGGAGCACCCGTGGGCGCCTCAAGGCCAAACGCACCCCGACCTCTCACCTTTCTGCTTCTTATTGCCCCAACTGAAGCCCCAGAACCCCAGCGCACCCCCTTCTCTTCCCTCAGCCTCTCCCCTCCCCGCATTGACCCCAGAGACCTGCACCCCATCTCGGGCACATGCCTTCTCCTGCCCCTACCGCCAGCCAGGCCCTGGCTCCCTGCACACGGTCTGGTCTCACCATCCTGTCTTCTGCTCACAGACCTTTGGTGACTCCCCCGTCGGACGGTCTGTGGCATCAATTCCCGATTCCTCCTCACAGCAGCCAGCCCCCCGCTCAGGTCCAGCCACCGCTGCCAGCTCAGCTCAGCACACTCAGCGGCCCCCACACCCCCGGCCTCCCGGCCTCCCCAAGGCCTGCAGTTCCCCTCCCCGCTCCTCCCACTGCCACCCAGAGGGTCAGCTTGCGTCTCCTCCTTTTTCTTTTTTTAAAAACATATTTTTATTGATTCCAGAGAGGAAGGGAGAGGGAGAGAGAGACAGAAACATCCATGATGAGAGAATCATGGGCCGGCTGCCTCCCACACGCCCCACACTGGGGGTAGAGCCCATAGCCCGGGCCTGTGCCCCGACCGGGAATCGAACCGTGACCTCCTGGTTCCTAGGTTGACGCTCACCCACTGAGCCACACCGGCCGGGCTGTCCACCTGTTCCAATGTGATTTCCCCCTTTTCTTGTGGGATGAGCGTTAAAATGAATGGAAACCCCAGCTGCCTGCCCTGAGGCTGTGTAACGCCCAGGCTGGGCCTCATCCTTTGAGCAAAAGCTTATTGAGAACAGAGATGAGAAACAGGACCACAGGGGGAGGTTTTCTTCTCTCTTTGATTAGTTGTGTGTGTTTCCTGGTGCACATGGGAAAAGAATTCTCATTTAGATAAGTTTCTTCTCTTCTAATATGATGGAATGATTAGATATTTCTAACAGGCATTGTGGATTTTTAAAGTGTGAATGCCCTTAATGGTCTAAATTGTTGTAAAGAGATTGTAGAATAATTATGCTTTTAGCTTGTAGTTCCAGGGTCTTGCTTCATAATTTTTACTTGGATCCGTGGTAAACCTTCTTTTTTTGTTGTTTTTGTTTTGTTAATCCTCATTCTAGGATATTTTTCCATTGATTTTTAGAGAGATTGAGAGAGAGAGGGA